TCGCAAAGTACTTTTATATCAATTTCATTAATTTATATCGATACTTAGATCATTTTACTAAATAAAATTTACATATTTAAATATTATATTAAAACTTTTATAAATTTGAATAAACTTGAATATATAAAGTAAAAGATTAAGAAAGATCTAATTTGACCACATGAATAGTGAAAGGAAACTTCTTTTTTAGACGGAGGTAGTATAAAATTGATCTTTTCTTCAAACATTACTAAAATAGAATTTATAAATAAAGAGCGTGTTTGGTAACATCGAAATTGGTTGAATTGACTGATTCTACTAAAATTTATGAAGTTCTTTCTGAATCGACTACTGATTATGTTGATTTATAAAAAAAAATAAAATATTTTAGTTAATAAAATAAAGAATAAATTATATGAAAAAGCTAAAATAATCCTCCACAGAAATTGAGTCAATACAGCCAGAAAAGTAACTTCAACCCTCTTTTTTCTTATTATTACACAATTCTCAGCGCGCGGGATAAAAAAAAAAGCGTGTTTACGAAAAAAGATGGATGATAGCCTAATAAGCCGGAAAACAAATTCAGTAAACGGGCTCTTCACGTGACAAAAGTTATGGTATATATATATATATATATATATATATATATATATATATATATATATATATATATTACTAATTTAACTATCATTTCCCATTCTTTCTTTCATACTTTTTTATTATTCTCTTATTTTTTACATTTTTTCTAGACAAAGGAATTTTAAAAAATTTAAATACTCAAGGATTATTTAAAATTATGCGTTCATTATTACATTTAGTTTTATGTTCTAGATCTAATGTAAAACTAAAAAATTAATATTTAATAATCCGTATCAAATAATAAAAGTATGAAGTTTAGATGATATGAAGTTTGAGATAATTGTTGATAGTATCAAATATATTTAAATATCAGTTCATGAATAATATTTAGATTATACCATATGTTTCTAACTGTACTATATAAATTTAGGTTTTGATTGATGAAGGAAAAAGAAGAAAGTCATTCACTAAATTTAATTCTATAGTTCTCTCCACAAAAGTTATCTTTAGAATTTTCTTGGATTTTTTTTAATTGTTTACAACTTTTTTACACTATTTACTATGTCCACTGTTTCATTTTTAGCCCGGTTATGTTGTGAGAGTAATTTATTGCTGAATTATATTTTTCCGAAAAAACGTTATTCATATTATTATTTACATCAAATGAACGCTCAACACAAATACACAATCACATAATTATCTTAAAATATGGAAGACGGGGGAGAATATATTAATTCGATCCAAATTATTATTCCTTAAAAATATATATCCTCTTTGTCAAGCTTTAATACTGCATATCAATGAGATTTCAACAACTATCCAAGACTTTTTAACACCACCGATTGAGGTGAGGTGATATTTTGCACAACTACGGAGAATTTAATTTAGATGGGGATCCCACTTTATTACGGAGCAAATCTTTATCATGCTACTACCAAGTACGTCGTATAAAATTCATAGCTCTAATTATATTACTGCCTATTGCCTAAGTGCGTATGTGTAAAGAGACCAAAAACTCTCATCTTAGGTTCCAAAATTCTACGCCTAACCACAGTGGCGGAGCCAGAAGTCTATAGTTAAAGGGGCCGGTTCTTGAAAATTTTATTTTGCAGGGGCCAAAGTTTAAAATATCAACATATTTTCTATAGATTAAACGCATTTATGCATAATATATACTTAAGAATTTTTTTCCTTGCAGGGGCCGAGGCCCCCTCCAGCCCCTCCCTGTCTCCACCCCTGCCTAACCATAGAACGTAGTAGTAATAATAATAATATACTCCCTCCGTCCCCTTTTAAATGTCCCGTTTTACCATATTGAGTTGTTCATATTTAAATGTTTCATACCTTATTTGGTAAAGTTTGTGTGGCTTATTATCATTCTTACTTTATTCTTACTTTATCAATTAATATCGACCACACAAACCCACTTTTCTTAAAACCCGTGCCACCCTCCTCTGGGACATTTAAAAGGGGACGGAGGGAGTATTCGGGTAATAATTCTTATTTTCAATCATATCTTTCAAATCATTATTTTATTTCAATTTTTCATGTTTGGGAAATCAAAAAATGAACTCCTTTACTCATTTATTCTCCTCATATTTAATTATTTACTTGTAATATATTTCTTTTTGGAAATATTTTACTATTTGCATTTTTTATAACATTTTTTTCTAATTTGTAAATAGTAATCATTCTTTTAGTTTATCATATTGAGAAGAAAATGAATTACAAATACCACTATAATTTAAATAATAGCAATGACATAATAATTAGAGTAGTAGAAATAGTATAACATATAGGGAATTTTCTCAAAATAAGAATAAACCAATATGAAATTTCAAAATGTGTGCGCTATATTTTTCCTATACAGAAGCAAATTATAGTTTCCCTAAAATCATACTATTATATTTTGTCATTGTTAGATACGGAGTATTATCCTTCAAAAAAAAAAAAGATACGGAGTATTAATACGAAGTATACATTACTAATATCATAATTGACAGTATTTTCTAAGTAATGGAGGACCTGGGATGCCTAGGGTAAAGTGTCACCGCTTCCGGCCTCAAAATTTAGTATTATGATAAAATTAGTATTCTCTTATCCAGATAAGCAATCATGGATAAAATGAAAATTGTGGTGAGATATGTAAACGTACATGGAGTTGCAATGGAGCGATCCCTTAGAGCTAAACACATGTTGTTGACACCATTGCACTTTCTTTGAAAAGCAGCGGCATTGGCAAGCTTTTTGCTAACTAGTGATTGTCTTTGTTCAAAGTTAGAGGTCAACGATACGATGATGCGAGCTGAATTTAATGGATTAGAGTCTCTTAACGTGAATGAAAATTCATACACAAGATATATTCATTATTTTGCAAGGTGTGCTTAATGGATTGAAAACTTAGTAATAAAGTCAATATTATGATTCCATTATAGGTTGTTGATCATATATACTAGGGAAAACTATCAAATAAGCTCCCGTACTATACCGAAAAAGTCGATTAGGCTCTCGTACTTTACAAACACTCAATTAAGTCCTTGAACTATTAAAAAAATGTTCAATTAAGCCATTTCGATCGGTAAGTAACCGGTTTCCCGGTTAAATCTAACCCGTTTCCCGGCAGACGCCGTTGCTGGGGTTCGAGCACATCGTCGCCGTCGTCTCCGTTTAACCGGGAAACCGGTTACTTACCGACCAAAAGGGCTTAATTGAACGTTTTTTAATAGTTTGAGGACTTAATTGAGTGTTTCTAAAGTACGAGAGCCTAATTGACTTTTTCGACATAGTACGGGGGCTTATTTGATAGTTTTCCCTATATACTAATCTCAAGATGGAGACTCACTTTAGTGAGTCACATACATAATTAATTAGTCATTGCATGCTTAGCATGTCTTGATCTTGAAGATATATTGGAATTGTTTGGATGGTAGCGTGTTAGACAAAAATACTATTTTTTACACTTCAAATGCGGCTAATTGCAACGTGTAGGGCTGAAAACGCCAAAAACCAAACAACTTCATTATTGGTTTTTGTGAGTCAAAGCTACTGAGCTTAAAGAGTCATATTCATGTGATCGTTGAAATATTGATCAAATGAAGCTTAAGAAACAACTTCAAGTATGTGTGTGTGTGGCTTGTAAAGTGAGAACAAATTGAGTATTTCCTGACATTGAAGTTTGTATAAACATAATTGAGCTTAGAATTAACAATTCTTTTACTTGGTGTGTCGGTTGAGTGAGTTGGATTTAATGTTACTAGTTGCATTTTTAACACTGCGATGAGTAGATTTGACAAACGACTTACTAACGAATTGCATAGTGTCCTATATCGAGAGAAAGAGATTTTTAGAAGTATTTATTATGTAACTATTATGATTGTTTTTCAAAATATGAGAACTCGCGGGGATTGATTTGTCGAGGTTGCAATAATGAACTATTTAGATATGTAATTAACTATTCCCTCCGACCCTCCGATCCTCTATTTTGTCTCGTTTTATCCTTTTCTTCCATCCCATTCACTTTGTCACATAACACATTTAATAAAATTTGAGTCACTACCACTTATTCTTATTTTATATACATTTTATCAATCTAATATCAATATCACAATTTCACCTTTCTTAATAATCACACCATTCTCCTCTGTCTCAATTTAGGGGGACAGAAGTAGTATAAGTTAGATAATAACTTACTTTTTACCGGTTTTATCACGTTCGGAGTTATTAAAAAGTACTCCATCTGAATCAATTTTACTACTCCCTCCGTTCTTTAATATAAGTCCTCTTAGGCTTTGGCACGAGTTTTAAGAGGAAAATAGTAGGGGTAGTGTAAAAGGTGTAATGAGTAGTGGGTAAATGAAAAAGTAGGAAAGAGAAAGGGGTAATGGTAATAAAAGTGTGGGTATAAAGGTATATTTAAAGTAAAAACTTTCCTTAAATGGAAAGGAGTACAAATAAAAAAAAACGTCCCAAAAAGGAAAGAAGGACTTTTATTAAAGAACGGAGGGAGTATCTTGTATTCTTTTTGGAGTTGCATCAAATTAATTCTCAAATTTCCATTTTGGGAAAGAAATCTTAAATAAAGTACTACGTATATTAGGTATATACAATAACAAAAATCTATGTCCCCTTTCACAAATACGGAGTATCTATTTTCAAAATATACCGGTAATTACCCGGAAAAACACATATTACTCATATTTTGATATAGGGAGTGTTATTTTTACTCATATTTAACACAATTTTAGTAATTACAAAAGTGATGTATAGTCGGTCTACTATGGTCTAATATGGTGTTTCAGCCCTATGATCTCATCCCATTTGTTAAAATTATCCGATCTTTTGTGGAATTGAAATAAATTTTACAGATTGTGTTTGATGACCATCGATTAAAATGAGAATAAAAATCTTGGCAATGTCAATCAATTGCTACCAACCCAATGACTTGCGAGAGATTTTGAAATTATATTTGGATTCTAGGGAGGGGCGTGGAAGAACAGTGATGATGCCATGGGGGAGCCAAACACGGCAGTGTAATTTCTTTGTTTAACCATCTCCAGTCCATTCTCTGTCGGCTTGTTCTCTTCTACCACACTCATAATCACCTTACTAATCCCAGTAAACATAACCACAAAACACATTATTAATTATTAATAATTTTAAATGTTTCCAAATAAATTGCCTGCCGGCGTTATTAATACACCATAATCATAATGGGAAGTAGCGGGTATTGGCTTTTCACTATAAAGCAGCTGCCCGCTCATTGGCGTCAGATTTTCCGGCAAGTTTTCAGATTTCCCCACCATTCCACCACCCTGATCTCGATTTCTAAGCTGCCCTTTACCTGGCAGCTGTAGCTTCTCTACTTTTTGGAAAATTTATCCGCCCTCCTGTTCTTTTCTTGATTGCCCGGCCAGTCTCAGCCGCCTTCCACCGCCGCAAGCGGCTGAGCACATGATCTTGTAGTGTAGTAGAGGAAAAGAGGAGCCTTGAATGAACAGGGAGCTAATAAAGGTGACAGAAAAGATTCAACTTTGGCACCACTTTAGGTTACCCAAAGGAAATCTATGGGATTTACAGCTTTTATCCAACATTCTCAAGAAGTTTGTAGGTAGCAGAAAGACTTGTTTGTTGAGACCCCTTTGACTTGGGCTCATTTGGGAATTAGAGGCCTTTCCTGAGAAGTAAAGGCACAACACAGTACCAGTAAGTCTCTTCTTTTTTTACTGCGGTTGGAAAGTGTCTGATTGAAGAAAGTAAAGAAGCTTTAGCATAAATTTCGGTTTCATCATATTCTTCTTTCTTTTTTCCAGAAATGAAGATTCCATCGAATGGGTATATTGCAAATCCAGGAGAAGGTGTTTCTTTGATTCACCGTGATATGTTATTTCCTTGTTTTTCTGTTATACACTAGTGCATATTTTTCTTGCAAATTGTTAAAATTTCATTTTTTCTTGGTGATGAATTAGGAGAGAGAAAGTTGATAAATTCAGAGTTGTGGCATGCCTGTGCCGGTCCCTTAGTTTCGCTGCCAGCTGTGGGAAGCCTTGTGGTGTACTTTCCGCAAGGCCACAGTGAACAAGTAATTTTGAATTTCTTCCATTTGATTGAACAAGATGATCTAAGAACTGCATATGAAGTTCTTCTCCATTCTTTTATAAAAAGTTTTTTTAACATTATATCTGATGAAGGAAATCTTGTATTGTTTGATATATGATAACAACTCTCAGGTAGCAGCATCAATGCAAAAAGAGACTGATGGAATTCCAAACTATCCAAACCTGCCCTCCAAATTGATCTGCATGCTTCACAATGTCACCTTACATGTAAGCTTTCATAGCCACTCAAACCGCGGGAATTCCCTTGTTCTGGAAAATCACTTCGTATGAACATGTTTGTGATTTTCTCAATTCTTGTGAATTCCTCAAATTGAAGACATTCAATTTAATATGGGATTTGCTTAGTTTCCATGAATTGGGCGAATTCAGTTCATTCCAAATGTCAATTAATATAATTCCCATTGATATAGAGTTTAGGCATTGGTGAATTTGGATAAAAATGCTGAAGTTGTTAGGATTGTGGCTGATACTGATGAAGTTGCCGGATAATGAAAAGTATATTTTAATTATACTTTATTGAAGGGATTAATGCGGAAAAGCTAAAGTGATCATGTCCAGCAACTTCAACAACTCTTTTTCATTAATATATTCAGCTTGCTTAGTCAAAGAATAGCGTTAGGTAAAAAAGTGCAGGTCCTAAATCTGGGAAACAAATGGCAATCACGGGCTAGTTCAGTTGAAAGGAATCCAATTTTCATTTTAAAATTTTTTTGGGTAAGGCGGGTGGGGTGGGTTCCAATATATATCTGATGATTCTGATCCTTGAAATCCCATTATTCTTATGCAGGCTGATACTGAATCTGATGAGGTGTATGCTCAGATGACTCTTCAACCTGTAAACAAAGTAGGTCAACTAATTTAAGTGTCTGGATATGACATTTCTCAAGTGTTTCCAGACATGACAATTCTGAAGTGTTTTTAAATATGATATTCCAATAACAAATTGTATCTACAGTATGATCAGGAAGCTTTGCTTATATCAGATATGGGCTTAAAGCAAAACAGGCAACCTTCTGAGTTCTTCTGCAAGACACTGACAGCCAGTGATACTAGCACTCATGGTGGTTTTTCAGTTCCCCGCCGGGCTGCTGAGAAGATATTCCCACCTCTGGTATAACCAAATAGTTTAAATGTTTGAAATGGCGCGATCCCAACAAATTCTTGTTTGGTTTATTAGCTGAGTTTTTCTTTTTGTGGGGATAGGATTACTCAATGCAACCTCCTGCCCAGGAGATAGTATCAAGAGACTTGCATGATCAAACATGGACCTTTCGACATATATATCGAGGTATTTTCATGCATAAAGCAAGAAATGTCTTCATTTTGATACACAGCAATACATATATGGATATACATATTTGGTTATGATATACGTAGTATATACTAATATACATAACCATATATTTTTTAGTGTGTGTGTGTGTGTGTGTTTTCTCCCAGTTCTGCAACCCCCGTGCCCTTATTATCGATTTTGTGCAATTCAGATCCTTATGTATAAAGATTTGTGCATTCAGTCCATCATGTCCTATCCCAAACATGCGAACATTATTATTGACAAGAGACAAAATGAAAGAGTGCACATGCACTTGTATGGAAATGCAAAAGATGTCCAGGTTGAGTGGCTCTATAATTGTGATGTCAGGGACTGGAGTGACAGCTTTGTATAATAATTAAGGGCTGCATTGGACCAATTGATAATGAGGGACTATACTGCAAAACTGGGAACTATTAAGGGACTAAAATATAAACTTTTCCTTAAATGAATTGGTCTTAAAGGCGTTTAGCAGAATTCCTAAAAGCTGTTCTTAGGTTCTTAAACTGATTAACTTTTAAATACAGCTCACCTCTTATTCAGCTATTCATGATTATGTAGTTATTCCTTCATACGGATTCAAATACACGAAGCTTTATGGAAAATAGTGATAAATTTTGAATGGAATGAAATTTGGGGGAAATTAAAGAAGTTGTTCAAACTCCATCACTCAGTTTTAGATATTTGTTCGAACTCAGTTTCATTTATATGTTTCTCTATCATAGATACTATGAAATCTATCTATTTCTAAAACTGAAAAAAAAAATTCCCTTCCATTTTCCACGCTCTAAATATGGCCTTGAAGAATTTATTTTTCTATGACTAAGTAAATTTCATTGGCTTCACATTAGGGCAACCGAAAAGGCACCTATTGACTACAGGTTGGAGTGTTTTTGTGTCATCTAAAAGACTATGTGCTGGTGATGCTGTCCTTTTCATAAGGTAATCAGAAAAAAACTAGCTAAGATTTCTACACACACAGTAAAAACTCCCCCTATCATTTTCATCTGAGCTGATAAAAGTGTGACATAGGGATGAAAAGTCCCAGCTTCTCTTGGGTATACGTCGTGCTAACCGGCAACAACCCGCCCTTTCATCATCAGTCATATCCAGTGATAGCATGCACATTGGCATACTTGCTGCTGCTGCACATGCTGCAGCTAACAATAGCCCTTTTACCATCTTCTACAATCCCAGGTAATTTTTTTAAAAATATATTACTCTTATGAAATAAACACAAATATATGATTGAAATTAATATGATGGACAAAAAAATTACCACCATCCCGGTGAACTTTGCCAATTTCGGATTAGGTGAGAAATAAGAAAAGTAAAATTTGTGTGATTGAGGAGAAAGAAATAGGTACACCCGCAAATTAATTGCTATACACCCGCAAATTAATTGCTATAATAGGAAAGTGTCAAAGTTTTTTAGACTATAAAAAGGAAAGTTGACAAAGTCCAATGGGATGGAGGGAGTATGACTTTTAATAAAAGTGACCACAGTGGTATTAGTATATTACTGCAGTGACTGCAGTTACTATAATGATGTTCAACTTTACCTTGCAATCACGGTGAATTTTCTGTGTCTATGTAGTCATATTTTGTCCGTGAATTCTATTTTAGTTATATTACAGTAAAAATCCTTAATTTTATTTACTTTATGCAATTACAAATTCATGTTATTCAAGCCATTTATTTATTGAGTTTTTTTATGATTAAACCAACTCCAGGGCTAGTCCTTGTGAATTTGTCATCCCACTTGCCAAGTACAATAAAGCCATGTACACTCAAGTATCGCTAGGCATGCGGTTTAGGATGATGTTTGAAACTGAAGAGTCTGGGGTCAGAAGGTACATGGGGACCATAACTGGTATCAGCGATCTCGACCCTGCTCGTTGGAAAAACTCTCAGTGGCGTAATCTTCAGGTACATATAACTACAACCTTTGTAGCAACTAAAACCTCTTAAAACCCGTGGTAGAGAATTCTCATTTCTCAATCTCTAACTGGATAAATGTTTTGCAGATCGGATGGGATGAATCAACAGCTGGGGAACGCCCATCTAGAGTTTCAATATGGGATATTGAACCAGTTGTTACTCCTTTCTACATATGCCCTCCTCCATTTTTCAGACCCAAATTTCCAAGACAGCCGGGTTTTCTTGGTAGGCAACTTTACTGGATACTCTGCTCTTGTATTGCTAATAATTACCCTCCCAGTCCCCTAAAAAGAATCCAAGTTCGAAAGGTTTTTATATCCCAAAATAGAGATGATATGAGGGTAAATTTTCATAAAATTTGTCAAAATAGAGCAAGATATAACTTAATTTTATAAACTTAGGCAAACCACTACAGACAAAAATCTAAAATGAAGTATTCCCCATTTATGTTTAGGACAAGATACATGACACATATTTTAACAAAAAGTGGGATTGTGTGGTTGGTGTTAATGACTGAGCTACTAAGTATGGCCAAATAGGTGTGAGGCGAATGTAATGGGATGAATAAAAATGAAAAACGGGATAAACAGAATGAAAAGGAGAATATTGCTTGTGACTCATAAGGATGTATTTTGCCAAAAATAAAAGGTATTACCTTGGTCAGACAAGTATCTTTCTTGGGACTGGAGAGTACTCAATTTGGCTCTAGGTTTCATTCGGCCTTAATTTGGTACTCGACTATGCAATTTAAACTCAATTTAGTCATTGTGCACATTTTATCTAATTAGAGTACTTTCATACTCCAAGGACTAAATTAGATCCAAATTACACATTCGTGCGCTATGTCCGAAGTTGGGTCTAAATTTTGTGAAAGGAGAATAGTGCCTCTATTTAGAAACAAATATGTATGACAAAAATACCCTTTCTCATGCTAGAAGTAGCTTTTTTCAGGTGACGAGCCCGATATGGAGAACGTTTTTAGAAGAGGAGGCGGGATGCCATGGATAGGGGATGAGTATGGTATAAAAGATGCTTCAAGCTCAATGTTTCCTGGGTTGAGCTTAGTCCAATGGATGAGCATGCAGCAGAACAATAACCAACCCGTCGGATTAAACCAAAACGGCTCTGTACAAGGGAATCTGTCAGAAACTGAAAACCAGTCCAGACTGATGAACTTCCAATCACCAGGTTTTCCTCCACAGAATCTTCAGTTCAACAAACCAAACCAAATAAACCCGCAAGTTGCCGCTCCACTACAACAGCAGCAGCCATCTCCGTCGTGGCATTCTTTAACTGCCCAGCAACAACCTTCACAACTTCACCACCACCAGCATCAGCAGCAACAGAACTTCAATTTTAACGGTTTAAATAATGGGGTAGTCAACTCTAATTTATCGCAAAACCAGAATTTACTGCAAAACCAGAATTTACTACAAAACCAGAGTTTACCACAAAACCAGAATTTACCACAAAACCAGAATGTACACCCTCAGCAGCAGCAGCAACAACAACTAATGACCGGAAACATACAGTACCCGATGAATCCCCAAGCGACCATCAAAACTGCCTTCCCAAACACATCCTTACCTCAAGAGTTGAAGTTTCAGCAATCTCAACAACAGCCACAACAATTACAACAAGCTTCTCCACTGCAGCAGTTGCTTCAACAAAGCATAATGCAGCAGCAGCAGCAGAGGCCACAAACACAACAGCAGCAGCAGCAGCAACTCTTATCTCCAGTTAGCTCCAACACGGACCCACTTCTGATCCAACAACAACCTAACCGTCAGCTTTCACAACCTCCCCCGCTTCTACAATCTCCAAAATATCCTCGGGGTCCACAAAAGCTGCCGAATATCAAAACCGCCCATTCTGGGCTGACTGACGGGGATAATAATTCCCTACGGTCAGCCTCACCCTCCACAAATAACAGCCAGCTGTTTCCGTCTAACTTCCTGAACAGAAGCCACCAACCACCTTCAGTGGTGTTGCTAGACGATGATCCCGTAGTTGAACCTGCCAAAAAACATGAGATTCAATCAAAACGCATGATACCCACCATAGTCTCAAAAGGAACTGATAATAACTTGGAGGCGACCTCATCAGCAACGTCGTATTGCTTGGACGCCAGTGGGTTACAACAGAACTTCTCTTTGCCCGGATTCTGTTTGGATGGGGATATCCAGTCGAATTCTAGGAACAGCATGCCTTCTTCCGTGGCTAATATTGACAGTCTTCCGCCGGATGCTTTGTTGTCGAGGGGTTACGACTCTGGGAAGGACATGCAGAACTTGTTCGTGACATACGGGAATTCTCCTGCTAGGGATATTGAGACAGAGCTGTCAAGTGCCGGGATTAATTCTCAGTCATTCGGTTTGCCGGATATGTCTTTTAAAGCTGGGTGCTCTAATGATGTTGCTATCAATAACGAGGCTAGTGTTTTGAATGGTGGGGGTCTGTGGACTAATCAGACTCCACGCATGAGAACATACACCAAGGTTTGCTCTTCATCCTCAAGACAGTATACTTTTGTTATCTCTACAAAAAAATGATACTTGCAGGGAAAGAGTTAGGAACATTTGTGACCCAAAAATTACTAAAGAAAGAAAATAGAAAGGTAAATGAGCAGGAAAGAAAATTTTAGGGAAAGCAAAGCATAGATTATGTAGATGTTCAGGTTCTATTTATTTATTTAAGTGAATACTAGGAAGTATTTACATATATCTACACATCAATATTACATATTTCCTTCACATTTTCTGAGGTAAAGCCAAACATGCTATGATAACTTCCTTAGTATTTGTTTCCCTCCTTTTCTGGGCAGTTCCTTGATTTGAACATGCCTTTAGGTGCAGGGAGACACTAGGGAAAGGGAATGAAATACTAAAGATTCTTTTCCTTTTTTGTATATTTGTCTTCATCTTTGGAGATGTTAAAGAAAAAGAAATATAATTAAACTATTAAATAGTACTTCATAGTATATACTTGAAATTCCCAGTCTTAGTATAATATAAATAAATAATAAGTAAATAGAATAACTTTGGACAGTAGCTAAAACTAATATATTGAGTTCCGACAAATAAACGGCCTTTTCTGCAAATTATCTTTTCTTCCGATGTACAATGCTTTTTTATTCTTTATTCCAAATTGAAGAAAAATAACAATGAAGTAATTGTCCAAAATAGACTAAAACATAATAATTACTTTCCGTAAGCATGACTCCAACATATTTATTCATAAGATACCATCTTTTTGTCATAGATAGAAAACATCATTAATTAATTTAATAAAGACAATTAAATTAAGGGCATGAAAAAGAAAGATTGATGCATATTTAGTAAAACATCATATGATGTAGTCTCAAATTAGTAAATTACTCAATAATGGATGTGACTTAAATTGTGAAAGGTTCAAAAGCGGGGATCGGTAGGAAGAACAATCGATGTCACACGTTACAAGGGGTATGATGAGCTAAGGCAGGATTTGGCACGCATGTTCGGGATCGAAGGACAATTGGAAGACCCTCAAAGAACAGATTGGAAGCTTGTCTATGTAGACCACGAAAATGATATATTGCTTGTTGGTGATGATCCTTGGGAGTAAGTCTTACATTTTTTCCTTTTTTAGTCTTTGCCAAAATCATACTGAATCCAAAACATTCCCATGTGAGACCACACCGCACATATATACACACATAACTCTAGTAATTTAATTATAACAGGGAATTTGTGAGTTGTGTACAAAGCATAAAAATACTGTCAACTGGAGAAGTGCAGCAGATGAGTTTGGATGGAGATCTTGGGCCAGCCCCGAACCAAGCTTGCAGTGGGACTGACAGTGGTGGCGCATGGAGATGATAAAACTATACACACAAGTTACTGCTTACACATTCTTTAAAAACAATATGAAAGTATTCAAAGATTGAGAAGCTAACTGGACTGGCCATGCACTGTATTGCAGCCAGTGTTAAAAAGCCCCTTTCAAGTTAGTAATGGAGCCAGCCACTGTATCATATTGCTCAATTGAGCCATAGACTCAAACGGAGGTCCGGGAGCACTTTCATGTGATGATTCTTCATTCTTGCAAGGAAATGTAAAGCTGCTTTCGGTGTAGAAAGAGAGGGAGTTGTATTATCCTCCGGTTTTTGGGTTTCATGCACTTCCTAAGGTGTTTTTTGCCCTGAATCCCGGGAAGGACCATTTACTAAAGCCAGGGTAGGCCGTACAATGAACCTATGTATGTTATGAACAGTAACATTGCTTAGTATAATTAAGTCATACGTCCCTAAACATTCTCATGTGAGTTGGCAAATTTTTTCAAAAGTATATATTGCTTATTTCTTCATTTTTGGTTATTGAGTATACAATAATACGTAGTACAATTTATGAAAAGAAAAAAGGCTACAAGCCAAAGAGGGCTAGGTGTAGGGATAAAGAGATGGTCCAGGTCCTAGACCAAACTGAAGCTAGTCAATTGTCAGCCCAAAGATGGTTTCACAATGGAAAAGTTGCAACCCTGGTCCTAAAACTCCTAATCCTCTTCTTTATTTCCCTACAGCCAACATACAATTGAATTATCTAATAATCTCACGTCATTTAAAAAATTAAAACGTTTAGTTAATTAATTTTTCAGAATGATTATACTAGTTCCCTTTTCATGTGAATACTTTGTAAAAGTATCTTTAATGTTCTTTTCATCAATTTCATGAGTCCATAACTGGAACTAAAAACATAAAGACCGAATCCCAAACATTGAACCATGGACCAGCCATCTTGGGCCAAAACCACTCCACCCTTTGGACATCAATGCCAGTCCAGTTCGTGTTCAGGCCAGCCGATTGCCAGTCAACCCCCTAGGCCCAGTTCTGATCCAGTCACAACCCAACCAATATACTCCATCCTGATTTTAGAGGATTCAGAGCCGCATCCAGATTGGACCAAATCAAGCCGACCTCTAGTATCACGTCCGCAGTGCCGCACAGCACTTAGGGGTGGAAGCAGTTCCAGTCCCTAACCGGCCGATCCCGGTTCCGGTCCCCCGGGTCATTCCGGTCCAAGACCAGTCCAGTTTGATCCTTTATTTCAATTTCAATGCCAAAAAAACAGTCCGGGACCAGAACCGCCCGGTCCAGTCCCCAAAACCATAAACCGGGACCAAGACCACCCCTTTAGCCAGTCCGGTCCAGCACAGTACCGGATCTGGTTCCGGACTTCCGGTCCAGGACCTTAGACGGAGTCCACCCTATTTGCCCTGCATACGCAGTACAGTTACACATCCATGGTTGACCAGTCAAAACTAGCTGGCTGGAGTGGTTGTCCGCAGGAAATGTTAGCAAGGAGCGAACATTGTTTTGTGACTACAGGGGAAAGCATTTCTATGGGCAGCAAAACTGAGCCCACCGGCCCCACCCCAACCACATCAGCACCAGACTACAATGTACTACCGTACTACGTATATGGCTAACTTGTTTTTTTCCATGGTTTCTATCAGCCCATTGAGGGGAGGTGAAAATGACTTCTTTTTCTTATGTCACGCCATTAAAGGACAAAAATATATATAACAGAACTACGAAATTGAACGAAGACCACCCACTCATGAAGCCAGTAAAAGTTCCAAAGTCCAAGTTTTCCTGTATCACGACCGCCTATCCAAGACAAGAGTTTGACCAGATTTTTGTCTACCACACCTGAATACCTGATTCGCTAATCCTAAGGTGGCAATCTCGACAGACCAAGTAACAACTAACAAGAGAGTAAAGACTTGAAGCTTATGCCATAGCTTCGATAAAACAAAAAAAAAAACAAGGAAACTCTGATAAAGAAGAAAGTTGCTAAAGATCATTACATAGATTACACTTCGAGTGCTTCACAGAAACATGGCTAATATTTTGATCTCAAGCGTGAACTCAAGTTTTCTAGACCAAAAAGATCAGAAATTCCTTGAAAATAAAAAATGAATAGTGATTCAACTATGAGAGGACAGCCATTACATCAGAAGCCCTCAATGCAATGTAATCAGATCCATCAGTGCCTTTAAACTCATTGCCAGCATACTTGGAGTAGAGAACGGTGTTTCCAGGGTTGACTGACAAGCTTTTCCTTTTTCCTTCTTCATCAAGAGCTCCCGGTCCAACAGCCACAACCTGTTGTCAATCATCAAAGGAATCATCAAGGGCTCATCCTTTAAAAGCTATCCTAAATACAGAGTATCATGAAATGTGCAACTCCTGGCTTATAAAGATAAATAACTATCTCAACAGGTCAGCTGAAGCAAGTGCTCTCTTTTCAGTCGTGCTCAGTCGTGCATATAGCAGAGGGTACTCTTATGCCACCAGCCAGTGACTTTCTTTTATATCCAACTATAGTAACACAAGCCACTATCTCATTAACCTTAGATAATTGAATATTAATACTAAATTTGTTAAAAGCAAGAAATTTGATGTGCCAATTCATGTTAGCCAACCCCGAACTGTTTTTGGATTAAGGCTTGGATGTTGTTGTTTTAGTTTAAAGCAGCAACTATTCTGCAATTTTGCAGTTAAAAGAGGTTACACAGTTTAGACGACCCCTAACTATTGGCTTTATACCCTAGTTGCAAACATTTGGGTAAGATGTCTTTGAACCTATACAAATGATGTTCAGGTTGGATAAGAGTGCCCATCATAAAAAATTGGTCTCCACAAGCTAGAAATTTGGTATGGAACATCAAATTCTTACTGTGCCGATAGAAGGCTTCTCTTTGCTAGCCTCAGTAAGCAGCAAGCCCCCGGCAGTTTTTTGCTCCGCCTCAGCAACCTAAACAGAAAATTCAATGCAAAACTTTCATTTTGTAGTACAATGCAAGTAACGAATAAAACAATATTAAACATGTGAATAAGAAGCATTTAGCAAATTCAAGCTCATCATATAAAGAATCAACTTTGCTATGACAGACTTTGAAGCACAGCAAGATTCCTATGAAGTTGTTCCTAAATGTTAACTGCAGCCTTCTGGGGGACTCATATTAAAGAGAGGAATACGCAGATAGAGGAAAGAAAAACAACAAACCTTTATAAGAACCCTGTCATTGAGAGGTTTCATGTCACTGACATCCTCTGTATCAAGAATACCAACAATGTCATCCTCCTTCAAAATGAGATGACTTGCTCCATCAAACTCCACCTCTGTTCCAGCGTATTTCGAGTACACAACCTTAGTTCCAGTCTGTACATAGTTAAAAATTCTTAGCACACAGAAGTTTATAGCTCGGAAAATACCAAGAAAAGAAAAAAGAGGAAAACTATTAGAAGAAGAAATGATAAGCTCACACAGAAATGAACAAAATTGTTCAAACTTTTAAAAATTATTTAATAATATAATATACTTAATAATAAGCCCTTTTTATATTTATTTATTTATTGATTGATTTATATTATATCAAGTCTAAAAAGACTAAATAGTAGTCCCTTCATTCTACAATAGTTGGTAAGGACATTTACAGAGAATACGTGTACATTTGGCACAAGTAGCTGAAAAGATAAACTTAAAGGCTACTATTTGACATAGTTTTGTTTGGTATAACAAGCTGATATGACTAATTATTGCTACAAGCAACAAACAAATGGCTCCTGAAAAAAATTGTGCCAAACATCCAACCAAGAGCTTTAAGAGATTTTTTAAATAGTACAAAAGCGGGAAGCCAGTAATTTATGCCTACCAAACATGCTCTAAGAAAAATAGTATGGAATAATAACTAGGGTTGAAAAAGTTGATAGTAGAAAAAAGGAGAAGTGGAAAATGCAGAAAAGAGAAGAAGTAGGGTTAAAGTTTCAAAATATGAAATTGTGTGAAATAAAAAAAAATCCCAAAAAGGAAAAGAGCTAAGTCAGCTAACTATAATGAATGAAAAGAGTATTTTAAATAGTACAAAAGCGGGAAGCCAGTAACTTATGCCTACCAAACATGCTCTAAGAAAAATAGTATGGAATAATAACTAGGGTTGAAAAAGTTGATAGTAGAAAAAAGAAGTGGAAAATGCAGAAAAGAGAAGGAGAAGTAGGGTTAAAGTTTCAAAATATGAAATTGTGTGAAATAAAAAAAAATCCCAAAAAGGAAAAGGAGCTAAGTCAGCTAACTATAATGAATGAGAAGAGTATTGAAAGAATTAGCAAACATTTTCTCTTCAGAAGGCTGCTGCATTAGATTATATATTCAATGTTAACCTTCAAGCTTATGTCAACTTTGGTCTTTCCAATTGTCCGGCCCTCTCCAACAGCAACAACCTCACCACCTTGAGGTTTTGATTGTGCTGAAGTTGGAAGAAGTATGCCCCCAACTGTCTTCTCCTCTGCTGTCTTTATCTTCACCAGCACTCTATCAGCCAGAGGCTTGAGTGTAGTATACTGCAAAAAGCAATTAAATATCAAAACAAACAAAAAAACTAATAGAATCCAATTCAACCACTTAATATATTATGACCAGCAGGTCGTCCGAGGCATTTCTTGAAATATGAAAAGACGCTCTTACCACTTACGATTCAAATAATCCAATTCAATCTATGTGAGAAATCAATATTAGAAAATTATGCATTACAAATAATTTTGAAAGAATAACAGTGGTCAGCCGGTCAGCCTTATACAACTAAAGTAAAGAGTTTAACAATTTTTAATAGGGAACCAAACGAGCAGTCCAGCACCTAAAATGTTCAATCAAATCTTACTCCAGCGTTAAAAAAAAGAATCGAAGTTCAAATAAATCTAACTGATACCTTAGGAGCAACGGCGGTGGCGGCCCTGACCACGAGAGACCGGAATGAGTTGCTTGAGCTCGACCTGGACGGCGCAAAAGATGCGAACTTTCCGGTGTTCCGAAGCCCATCCAACGAAACAAACCCCTTGGCGGAAATACTTGACGCGGTTAGCTGAATTGACGCCATTCCTATTGGACAGGAATTCAAACTTTAAAAAACACGAAAAGTTCAACGCTTTTTGCGTTCAATAACAGAAAGAAACGGAGGACGGCGACAATACCTTAGAATAATTTTATGGAGAAATTGAGAAATGAATCGCCAGAGACTGGTTAGTTTTGTTCCTGAGATAGTTTTTGGTTGGGGGGAATAAACCCTAGGAAGTTCTAATTGAGGGGTTGTTTTGGAAAACGCGAGACGCTTCTAGAATTTAGTCTGTATTTTTTTTAGTTCGGCCCATTACCCATTACCCGAATTACACCTGCACAAAAATGGGCTCAAGCCATACTTTTACTAAAAATTCTACCCATTGGTATGACTGAGCCGAACTGGCCCGTAAAAACGAACCTAACCTTAATATATGCTTATAATGTTTACACTTCATAATTTTCAAAATTATATAAACATTTTTAACTCTTAAAATAATATTACAACATTTTGAAAATTGTTAATATGCTTATAATGTTTATAGGTCACTCACTACCTACATACAAAAAAATACTCACAAAATATTCATGAAAAATTATATCTAAAACTTAAAAGAGAAAATGGAAACTAACAATCCAACCTTTTAGCAGTTTTCTTACAATAGTCCTACCTTTTCGTTAATAAAAAATAATTCAACCCTTACACCCCATCTTCATTGGTTGGTCCCTGATCGGTTAATGACCTGTTATTCCAAGTTATTTTCTTATCTTTGCAAAATGTTATTTTTGTGAAATGTGAAATTTATGGTATAATAGTTTGCAAATATAAGAAAATATACACACACTAATTTATGTGTGTGTGTGTGTGTGTGTGTGTATATATATATGTTCTAGGCGTCGGACTAGTCCTCGCCTAGGCGCTAGGCGGTGGCCGGGCGCCCCGATTTTCGTCTAGGCGCTCCGACTAATTAATTTGTCGTCTAGGTGAATTAGTCGCCCGCTATGGCACCTAATTGCCCGCCCAGAGCGCATTATCAGCCGCTTAGGCCGTCTAGTTTCGTCGAACATTACTTTACTTTTTATTTTTTATTTTGTAATCTATATAAGTACTTTAACTTCCGCCACAGATATAAAGAAATGAAATTGTAAATTAAGATAAAAACTATATATGTTTGTATACATACCTAAATTTTATTATTATTTATATTTATAACATAATGAAATTATATCACACACTATGTATGATTAAATGCGATAATTCTATCATTCATGTTTGTTTGTTTTTTACCCGGAAGGCAAACCACCAAAATCACTGGGGCAAACGTCGGGGAACGTTTGTCGTGTTTTAATTCTATCATTCATGTTTGTTAATGTATGTGTATATATGTATTTTATACACACACAAATACAATATTATTTATCATATTTATGCAAAAATATAGATAAATATGCAATTTCATTGTTTCCAACTAGTCCCCGACTAGGCGCCCGCCTAGCCGCCTAGGCGCTAGGCGCTGGGCTGGCGCTCGACTAGCGCCTAGCGCCTTTTAGAACATTGATGTGTGTGTGTGTGTGTGTGTGTATACATATACATATACATATACATATACATATACATATACATATACATATACATATACATATACATATACATATACATATACATATACATATACATATACATATACATATACATATACATATATATATATATAAGGGTGAGATCACATACAAACTAGTCTTCTCATGCTAACCTACAAACTGTCACAAACTGTGCATCTTTACATTATTTATACTGCATATTGAAGTTCAAAGTGTTGCATATTATTTGTACTGCATATTAAAGTTCAAAGTGTTGCATATTATTTGTAATGTATATTGAAATTCACAGTGTGCATCTTTACATTATTTGTACTGCATATTGAAGTTCAAAGTGTTACAAATATATATATATATATATATATATATATAGAGAGAGAGAGAGAGAGAGAGAGAGTAATCTTCCGGACAGGTATACCTGACCGGAGCCGCCGTCCGGCCTCCTCCTTTTGGGGGCCTTCCCGGTGGTATTTTTTGCTCAAATTTTTTGTGTATGTTCCTCATCAAGTCTAGTTCATCCATACCAAATTTCATCAAAAAATTCAATCGGGAAGGTTGTCAAATGATTTTTGAAAGTTAACTGGTCCGGAAAATACATATTCCGGACCAGTTAACTTGCAAAAATCGTTTGACGACTTTCCTGATTGAATTTTTGGCTGAAATTTGGTATGGATGAACTAGACTTGATGAGGAACCTACACAAAAAATTTGAGCAAAAAATACCACCGGGAAGGCCCCCAAATGGAGGAGGCCGGACGGGGCTCCGGTCAGGTATACCTGACCGGAAGACTACTCATATATATATATACATATATATATATATATATATATATATATATATATATATATATATATATATATATATATATATATATATAGATCCTATTTTTGTAATATGTGTTAGGGAGTTAGTTTGGTCCCTTTCTCCGTTTCTGCAGTACAAAATATTAACATCCGTTACTGCCTCTGTTTTGTTGATGTTTTGGAGCTCATTTGAGCCGGTCGTTCTTTCTCCTCCCATATGACATCTATCTTAAACCATTAGCCTAAATTTCTTGGCACTTTCACTTTTTTCCATTCCGTTCCTATCCAACGCCAGAACGAATGAGGAGCTAGGGTTGATGGTTCTCATGTGCACTCCCCTGGCCGCCGTCATTCGATATCTTCCCATATCAATCACCTCACCATGATGACATTGTCACCGTCATCTACTTGTCCTAGTTATGAGGTACGATAACTTCTTCTTCATTATTGACTTTTCTTGTTTCACTTTTGTGTTGAATGTGCTTTTACTTTTCACATAAAAAAAATCAATTAACTGGGAATGATTTCTGTTACTTAGTTTGTGACACCGCACCCGGATGTACTTGAATTTGAAATGCAATATGTATTTGAATTTTTTCCTAGCGAATGAAACTGTGTAACGGGTTGGTATGTTTAATTAATGAGCGATTAATTAAATTATTTATCGGGCCCATAATAATGAGAATGGGCTACCAAATAATTAGTTGGGATATCGTAATAATTTTAGAAGCCCAATAAAGTGCAAACCAAAGTTGGTAAAAGTATTTGGACAACCCGAGTGCTATTTTGGCCCAACCTGCCAAAAATAGCAGGAATAATTGGGAGGGACTTCCTACACCCACTTGGGGTATTTTACACACCAATGAGCCTACAATAATAGGGAGGGGGACCACCCAAAATGAGTTGGTGCGTGCTATAGGGAAGGAAGTCTCCTAGAGACAATTACCCACACCCCCATGTCCTACTTGGCATTTCCCTTAATTGATTGGGAGGAAACAACATCCCTATCCTTACACTCATCCGCACAAGCCGAGCCACAAAGGAGGGAGAGAGCTTTGGAGTTGACTTTCACAAACTCATAACTTGAGGAAGCACAAGGAAGAAGGAATCCAAGAGGGAAGAGCCAAGTTGAGGTGAGAATCCAACTAGTATGAATTAACTAGTATTATTATTGTATGATTTTTAAAGAAATCATAGGGTGGATTAAATCATGAGTTCTACACGTTTAAAAGTGTAGAATAATGTTATAAAGTGGTGGTATTTAACTTAGAAGAGTCGTGGAATCGATAGGAGTTGAAACCATCGGAAACCGCCACTTGAAGGAGGCTGTTCGTAGCTGCAGACCACGAAAGCCGCCCGGCTTTTGTGAAAGCCGCCCGGCTTTTGGCTGCTGTCCAGAAATTTCATCTCCAATCGGTTTGGAACGGGGATTGATCGAAGGGCTTAACAAAGGCAACCACTTCAGCACTTCATAAGGTGAGGATGACTGACTATGTTGTTTATAATCTTTGGGTTAATTTCATAAGATTACCTAAAGTACTTAAATGCGATTTTCATGGATTATTAATAAGTAATAATGCCTAAATGAGAATACAATTGCTTATGAGTAATTGAAGTATTATATGCGAATTGCGAATGAAGTGTGTATGGATACGTGATTATGAATATGATGGAATGATAGTTGAGTGAACTAAGAATATGGAGATAAAATATACTTTGCTTCATGTAGAGAATTCATGAATGGGTAAAAGTGATATTTTGATATTGGGAAGTAATTATATTTGAATTGGAAGATAAATTGGAATACACTATGTGTCTATGGGTTAAGAACTTGGTTGTTCAAAATTTATTCAACTAGTATTGAAATACTAGCCGAGATGTTAATATGAGAAACAATAGATTAATCCAACGAGTTGGGTTGTGAGGAAATTATACCTTGAGTAGTCCTAAGAGATACTTTAAGGTCGAGACGTGTAAGCTCTAAGTATAATAGGAGTAGGCCCTAAAGGCTACTCAATCTAAACCGATTCTAGGCATAGGAATTGCTTAGGGATTGATTAACGTGACTAAGAGCGGGGCTCTAGCATGTTGAAATGATGACTAAGAGCGGGGCTCTAGCATGTAGGGATGGTGACTAAGAGCGGGGCTCTAGCATAATGTAGATGGACTAAGAGCGGGGCTCTATCCAATGTAAATTAACTAAGAGCGGGGCTCTAGTATGATGTAAACGGACTAAGAGCGGGGCTCTATCCAATGTAGACAAATTAGGAGCGGGGCTCTAGTATGGTGTAGGGAGACTAGGAGCAAGGCTCTAGCACGATGTAGGGAGACTAAGAGCATGGCTCTAGCATGATCCAATAGTATAACCGGGCGAGGCTCGGTGATGTTTATGCCATGTAATAGGGAAATGCCCAAATGACTATGAGTAAATTTACCAGAGGTTTATGACATTCGTGACAAATAGTCACGGGGGAAAAGGGGGATGGACTTACAAAATGCATACGGGTCTTCGGGCCGACTACTTGACTTTATATAAAGTAAGTATATTTTCAAAGAGGGTAACCACGGGTTACGACCTATATTATTATATCACCCTATTTGAGGGTCTTGGAAATTGAAACATTGATTATACTTAGTATAGTTGTCATTGTACTTGTCAAATGCTTCCAAGTACTGACCTCCCCTTCACGGGGGAGGCCACCTCACAGTTTCAGGTAGGAGTTGAGCTTGCTACCGGTGCCCGTTGTTTCGGGAAGATTCAGGAGGGAAGACGTGGTTCGTGCTTCCTCCGCCTCTGTTTTTTTTTAAAACATTTAAAATCGATGCTCATGGATATTATTTTGAATAATTATTTGGGGCTTGTATGCCCATGTTTGCCGAAGTGTGGCGTAAACACTTGTATTAAACGTTTCCGCTGATTTAAATG